TGGTGATTGAGAAGTGGACGTTATTTTGCGTGTATAGGTGAGTGTTCCTTGTTTGTTATGTTTCATGACTATATGGCTAGTATGAATGATTGATAATCTGTTAAATGCTTTCAATGATTGTTAAAACGAGTCTTCTAGGCAAGTGTGTACTTTATCGCACTCGGCCTAGATGATTGTAAAAATTTCAATGATTGAATGATTGAAATGTGATTTGTGCATGAATGTAAGCCTTTTGACTGAACTGGCCACTGCCCCTTGTTACCGGTCGTCCCGAGCCAGAAGCGGACTCGGTCGGGCGATTAGGGACCTGGGTGAACGTTTTGGTATACTCGAGTATTACCTTGTAGGTTGGTGGAGATTGGTGGAGCCTGGTGAATGAATGAATGAATGAACGAATGAATGAATGAGGGTTTTACTTATATACAAATGCATTTTCAAATGATTGAAGGTATAAGGGAACGAAAGGAGAATGAATGAACGAATGGCTCCTTGTGAGCACGTATCCTTTTAATGAAGGTGTTTATCGCTTTCTTTTGTATTTGAATTGTTGGTAACATGTAATGAATGCATTGAACTTCTTGTTGCCTATGTGTTCGGAACCTCACTGAGCTTATAGCTCACCTCTTTAGTTTGTTTTCCTTAGCAGGGGAAGGCGAGTAAGGACGAGAGCCGGTATAGACTAGCTGAGTCTAGCCCTTGGTTTTCTTTTGTCATGGTTCCCACCCTAGTGCTTGGCACGGGCTAGTTGTATAGTGATTTGAGAACCTCTGTATATTTGACGGTTGTACTTCTTCTTGAGATATTATTGTATATACGTTTTGTTTTAAGTTGGATTGTGGTTAGATGTTCTTATGGTTGCTTGAAGTGATCGACTGAGTCCCGGCGAAAGCTGGGCAGGCAGTCCGCCGAACCCTTTGGTTCCTCTTAGGGGAAATTGGGGCTGTCACAAAAAAATTCTTAGATACTTAAAAGGAACTTTGAATTTTGGCCTATGGTATCCTAAGTGTCATAAATTTCCTTTATGTGGATTCTCGGATGCTGATTTTGGTGGTTGTAGGATAGATAGAAAAAATACAACGGGTATATGTAACTTTCTTGAAAATTGTTTGGTATCTTGGTTTAGTAAGAAGCAAAATGCTGTTTTCTTGTCTACAATCGAAGCAGAATATGTTGCCACCGGAGCTTGTTGTGCTCAATTATTATGGGCGAAAAACACATTGAATGATTGTGGATTAATGTATGATTGTATGCCTATGTATTATGATAATACTAGTGCCATAAATTTGATAAAAAATTTCATTCAACATTCTAGGACAAAGCACATAGACATAAAGCATCATTTCATTCGCGATCTTGTTCATAAGGGTGAAATTTGTATTCAATATGTTTGCTCAAAAGATCAAATTGCTGATATTCTCACAAAAGCCCTACCACTGGATCAATTTGTGTCTTTGAGAACAAAATTGGGCGTTTCAAAAAAAATATTCTAAAATTCTCTAATCACTCTTTATCGGACGTCCGATGTGTTAAAATTGACGTCTGACAGTGTTCTTGATCATCTTTCCAGAAAGTTCAGGTTCAAACGGTTGTGTCAGACGCTTTACTTCGTTCGGCCGTCCGACACTCAAAAATTGCATCTTGTAAGAAAGTCCTCTTCTTTATTCAGTTCATTTTTACCCTTTGTCTCGGATGCAACTCTTCATATTCTCTTACTTTCTAAATTCAAATTCATCTCTCTTCGGAACAAGTTCCAAGAAATTGCTCTAACCAACACCATTACATTTTTATTGCGAGTTTATTGCTCCTCATAACTTCTTCCAATTGCCAACTGCACTATAAATTTCAATTCTCACTCGAAACCCTAACCACTCAATTTTCACTATTTGTGGTCAATTCAAGCAGTCATTGTAGTTCATCTATACTCATAGTTTATCTCATTACACACTCGCATCATACTTGTGACGGCCCCACCTCTCCCTAGGGCGTACCCCAGGGTTCGGCGGGTCGTCTGCCCAACTCTCGCCGGGACTCAGTCGTTCACTACAGTCCTCAATTAAAATCAGAATAAATCACAAGAATAAATAGGGCAGCGATCCAAACTTAAAGCGAAACTTATATACATTACCATCCCAAAAGGGAGTATAAAGATCGAATATACAAAAGTTCTCAATCCTTTATACGTCCAACCAGTGCCAAGCACTAGGGCGAGAACCATTACAAAAAAAAATTAAAGACCTAGACTAGGCTAGTCTATGCTCTCATCCTGCTCGCCATCCCCTGTTAAGGAAAACAAAACTAAAGAGGTGAGCTAAAAGCTCAGTGAGGTTCCGAACACATAGTCAGATAGTCAATTCAATACGTTAAACATGGAGTATCAATAATCCAAAAAATTTTTACAATAGAAAGCGATAGTAATACATTCATTAAAAGGATACGGGCTCACATGGAGCTATTCGTTCGTTCGTTCGTTCCCCTGACATTTCCCCTTATTCCTCCAATTATTTGAAAATTTCCTTTTTGAGAAGTAAAACCCTCGTGCCTGCGTTCGTTCATTCATCCCCTTCCGGACGTTGACCGGACTCCACCTATCCGGAGGTGGCCGGACTACAAGGTAATACTCGAGTATACCAAATTCACCCAGGGTCACCATATCGCCCGACCGAATCCACTTCTGGCTCGAGTCGATCGGTAACGAAGGTCAGGGCCCAATTCAGCCAAAAAGCTTACATCATGCGCAACTAATGTTTCAATAGTTAAATCATTGAAAATTTCACATTTCATTTAGGTCGAGCGCGATAAAGTACACGCTCGCCTAGAAAATTCATTTTAGAAATCCTTGAAAACACTTAACACATCATCAAACAACAACAACAAGTCATGAAGTCATGGAGAATATAACAAACAAGAAACACTCACCTATGTACGCAAAACAACGGGTAAAATATCCTTCCGGATATTATCCTCAGTCACCGAGAAAACTTAAATTAAACGAGAAAGAATATAACAGATCATCTAGCACAACAATTAGGTGCAATCAAAGAAACTCGACAATTATTGAGTAGAACGTACAAAAAGACTTTAAAGTGAAACGAGGACATTTGGACCCGTGGACAAAAATAACTAGGGTTTCATAGACCAAACGTAAGTATACCAGTTTAAATAGAAACTTAGTCCTCGAGCGAAAATTTGGGCAGCATGCCCTTTGTATTTTCCTATTTTCCAGCCATTTATGGCTTCATCCTTTTACTCAATCAAACCCAAGGTTATCCATAACAAAATTTCATTTCAATAGCCATTCCATAGGCTCAAAACAATACAAGAACAAAAATTAAGCTAATATCGAGTGCGGAAATGAAGTTTACAAAAGACAGTTTTGACGGGTTCTTGTAGAATGGGCACATCCGAGGCTCCGTTTATCGGATTGAGGTGAAACTTATACGCTTTCGAAGCTAAGACACAGGGCTCCAATGTTCATGAAGATCACTTAGTCCAATTTCCTGTGTAACCTAATCAAATTCCCAATTCACATAACCTAATTCCAACTAATCGGCTATTTAACCGTACTGCATTCAAATGGCCATATCTCAGCCTACCAAGGTCCGTTTAAGGTGTTCTTGGTGGCATTGAAAAGCTAAGACAGAGTACTAAAAATTTTATGTTTTGGAAATCAGCCAAATCAGCACGGATCATAATGAATAAACATGATAAACTGGATGAACTGACTAAAACGGAACACTAGAAACATCCTAAAATAGTGAGGGTATTTTGGTCTTTTCATAGGCTACGTTGCTCCGATTGACCTGACATTTTGTAGGCAACTATAAAATATCATTCTATACAACTTTCATGTTTTATACCAAGCCTAATTCGGCCTCTAACCACACAAACTGGAACCGGACAGAACAGGGTGAAATTTTTCCAGAAATCTGAAATTTTTTATTCCAATGATGACTTTCTTCATTTCTTGCTTCACTTGCTACCAAAACCCCCTATACAATATTGGATACAACATATATTAATCATACATTCAGTTTGGCAGCAATTCATCAAACCCTAATTCATGTATCCACAAGGAAAAACAACACCCAAGACATGATAACAACCATTATTCACCACAAATTTGAGATGCTAAGCTAATATAAACAAGATTAAGAGTAAAAATTGGGGATATCACCATCCTTACCTTGCTTAGTGTCTACTAAGGGCAACCCTAACTTTCCCCTTCAAAAATTCACCAACACCTCACTAAATCAACACTCAAAGGTAACTTTAATCGGTTTACTTTCTTTGTTTCCTCGCTTTGTAGCTCAAATTCAAGATGAAGGAAGATGGGTTTTGCTCTCTCTTTTCCCCTCTCTTGTCTCGGCCACCAGCAGAAATAATGAAGAAGAAAGAGTAAAAATTGGGGATAAGAAGGAAGACCATCTCTTGGTCAAGAAACCCTTAGGTGGCGACACTTGGCGCCACCACCTCCTCTCATTTTTCTCTTTCTTTTCCTTGTATTTTTTACCATAAATTTCGGTCAAAGGCAGCTGGAAATGAGGAGATATTTTGCTCAAATATCAATGAGCTCATGTGATAAGAAAGTGGTGGTCCAGTGGTGCATTCAATCGGTAGTGCGCGGTACACGCCGGTTCGCACCGTTTTTCCTTAAATCACACGTACTAGGGTTTTTTTCTTCCCAATCACTAACTTTTTAACATTGCTCCTAATCACATATTATTTCTCACCTCAAAGTCACTCTTAATCACCAAATTTGAGCCTTGCTCCGTACCAAAAAATCATTCGGCGGAAAATCGCGAAAACCCTAGTTTGCTCCAATCCTGAAAACGTAGAGTGAAACCCTACTTTTTATGTTCATTTGCACTTATTGTGGAACGATTGGGTAGTAGGGCTATAATAAATGAATAATTTCTAAATAAAAAGTCATTTTTGAGAAAAATATAAGAAATTTGCGAGTCCTCACAATACTCTGCAACAACATCATCTTGCATTGCATCATGGTGAAAACTAGAGGAGGGTCTGTCAGTGTCGGATGCACTTTCAGGTTTAGAGATGAAGAGGATGAAGACGTTCAGGTCGTCGAACCTTCCACCAAATCATCCAGAAAGAGAACTGGAACTCGTGGTGGAAAAACGAAGCAGTCTGCAAAGAGGAAGCAGAATGCTCAAACTGGTGAGCCATCTGTTGAACCATCTGTTGAGCAGATGGTGGAGCATCAAACTAAAGAGCATCCAGTTGTGGTAGTGAAGAGAAAATGAAGCAGCCCACCAATACTGATGCATCCGTCACAAAAACACCAAAAAAAGTGACGGAATCCCACAGTAAAAAGGGAAAAAGGTCCGCTAAAAGGAAGGGAATTGCTCAAACTAAGGAAAGAAAAACTGTCATTCCTTCTGTTGAGCAAAGTGAGAAACAGTAGGCTGCAGAGAAAAATGCTGGGGAACAGCAAACTGCAGAACCTTCTACCAGGAAGTCACCAAGGACAAAGTCTGGTGTTCAAAATACTGTGCCAACCGATCAACGCAGTGAAAAGAGAAAACGTCCTACCAATGTAACGGCCCCACTTTCCCCTAAGGCAAACCAAAGGGGGTTAGCGGACTGCCTGCCCAACTCTCGCCAGGACTACGGATCAGATTAGAGCTATCTGCTTCATTTCGGAACTTACAAACGCGCGTAAACAAATCAAAATAGTAAAACAACCCAAAATAAAATAAAATGAAATCCGGAGTCGGCCATGAATAGTAACCGACCCGTCAGAACCCAATCGAAAGAGCACGCAAACATTCACATCTGAACTTTAGCGATTACAATCCAAAATGACATACCAAAGTTTTCAAAAGTTGATACATATACACGGTTTGCCAAATCAAAAGAGAAAACGCCCCAAAAGTACACTTAGGGTTTTAATACATGACCTATACAAAAGATATGTTCCACAAGCTCAATTTGGCAGCCATTTGTCAAATCCAGACCAAAAGTGTTTATTTTCCTGTAAGGAAAACAAAAGAGACAGAAAGGGGTGAGCTTGCGCTCAATGAGGTACCAAACATATAGCAGAAAAATCATGGCATTTCACATTTTACAAATCAGATACACATGCCAGATGTAAAGCAAAGGAACCAATGATTCAAATCAGAAGGATACGGGTGGCTCTCAGGAGCCAAATTTCCAGCGCAGTACTTGATCCAAATCGGTTGACTCTCCGTCAACGTATATAGAACCAAAACGTCCGTAAACCCCTCTTCACACCGAATTCCGTCCACCAAACACCCCCTTTACCGGGCCCGCTCACCGTAACCGAACAGAAATGGTAATACTCGAGTATACCGGAATCAAGGGTCTCAATACCCAAAAATTCCCGAACAGACTACCGTGGTTCGTTATCTAATCGTCCAGGCCCTTGCCGGCCCGACTCGAATAACTTAGCCACAGGATTGAGCTCATAGGTCATAGAAATCCGAACAGATGCAGACACAGATAACAGATTCAGATACAGATACAGAATAGAAGATTCAGATAGCAGATTCAGACGGCAGATTCAGATAGGCACTCAAAATTGGCATATGAACAGACAAGAGAACGAGTGTGATAAAGTACACCCTCATCTCAAACAAATTAAACAGATTGCAGAGCAAAAATCAAGTTAAACAGCAATGGAGGGGAGTGGTACACTCACCGGCTCAACTTCAAAAGTTTTTACTTCAGATTGGCCTTAATCGCCAAGAAACCCTAAAATAACCAAAATAAACCAATTGAAGGTTTCACATCCATAATCGAGTAAACACAATGCACATGAGGCTCGACTACTAGTCGTATGCCTCGCCAAATAATTACTAATGCAAGGGTGGAAAACATGATTTTCTTGGAAACAAAAAGGTAACATGAAGACTTAGGCGCAAACAACCCAAAAGCCTTTCATTTCCACCAAAAGGCAAATCCAACTTAAAGGAACCAAACGGTCTAGAAAATCGGGCAGCACCTCCCCTAAAATTCTTACTTTTCCAGCCATTAAGGCTTCATTATTTCCTCAAATCAGTCCCAACATTTCACATAAAAGTCATCTCATTTCCCAAAAGCCGTTCACTAGGCTCAAAGTAGTACAAGTACAAAAGTTAGCTAGGAAATGACCGGAATGAGAGCGAGCCCTAAAACATGCAAACAAGTACATGGAGACTCGATAACGAGTCATAAAGCCATACCAACCACAACTCCAATAAGATTTCATATGCATATATAAGCATTGTAGCAAACCAGAAAATCAGGAAATGTAGCCATCTTGGCCATAACAACAAAAACAGTTTTGCCTTCATTATGCGGTAATGGTACAAATTGCACTACGATTATCGGATGAGGGTGTAAGACCCACCGTTTCGAAGCTAAGAACCAGGGCTACAACAATGTAGAAGGCCACTCAGTCCAAATCCTAGCACAACTAGGTCAAAAATACAGAATACCAAACCAGAACCGTAATTGCAGGTTTACAAATCACACCATGCTGTAATTAGTCCAACTCAGTCTATACAGGTCCAAATGCATTGATTCCAAAGGCATGTGGTAGCTAAGACCTCAAGCTACATTTCATAAGAAGACACCAACATCCAAATCCAAAGCAATTCCAGTCAAAACAGACGATTACAAACACAGTTTGCACATTCTGATCAACCCAGAACAGCTACAGTAAAATCGACATATCTCACTCTACACTACTCCAAATGACCTGAAATTTTACAGGCACCTCAAACACATCAATACCTACAACTTTTATGTTTTGAGCCAAGGCCAATTCGGCCTCTAACTATGTGCTAAAAATTCGGACAGATTGTGCAACCCAAAAACCCTAACTTGCTGAAAATTTTCCCAAACCAGAAATTGGTTGCAATTGTTCACTTTTCCCACCTCCTTAAGTCATTATATACCATTTCTAATCATCCTAGATAGCCACACAATCATGCTTATATTAAAACAGAAAAATCCCCAAAATAATAAAACTTCATCATTTCAACCACAAATCAAGAATTAATCCATAAAATTGCCTCTTATGCCACTACTAAACATAAATTAAACATCATTAGAGGGAGGAAAGGGGTTCATCCACCACTCACCTTAGTAAAACAAGAGGGAGAGCAACTTGTCACCTTAAACTTCCAAACAACTTCACCAAACAACTCACTATCACTAAATGAAGAGGTTTTATGGAGTAGAAACAAGTTTAGAAGGTTGGATGGTTTGATTGAAGCAAGATGAAAGCCAAAACTTGAAGAGTTTTTCTCTCTTTTGAAGCTCAAGAAAGTCGGCCAAGAGGAAGACAAGAATAAGAGATTTTTGGTTAATTTTTTAGATATTTAACCAATTTGGTCAAAAGTCAAAAACCATGAATAGTTGTCATAAGCCATACCCAATGAAATGGTGACACTTGTCACCTCAATTAATGCATTCCTATCCCTTCCTTTTCCTCTCACATCAATCACTTAACATCCTCTATTTATCTCTTAATACCCGATAAATTTCACACAGTATCCGAAACTTAACCTTATTGGCCGAATTTTTCCGAACTTTTCGCACTAGTGGGTCCCACGTCCATAATCTCTCCGTAATTTTTCAAAAACTACCCAATGCTAGGAAAATCATCTAAAAACTATAATTACTCATAAAATTCACCAGGAAAATTTTTCTAAGCCAGAAAATGCAGAAAACATGCCATTAAAGGAAATAAACCCTAGGAAAATTATTAAGGAATTTACGGGTTCTCACAACCAAAGAGCAACCTGACGCTCAAATTGCAGAGGAACCAACCCCCTTATCAAAGTTCATTGATGATGATGCCAGTGAGAGAGTCGAATGGATCTCGCAGAAAGGCTTCATCACTCAGAGGACTATCATCCCATACAAATTTCGTAAGTTTGATCTTGAACCAGTTCTTAAGCTTTTTGAATTCTAAAAATGGACTCATCTTCTGACCATTCCAAACACATACTATCCTGACATGCTTTATCAATTCTTTGCCAACCTTAGGAAGGGTAAATCACACACTGATCTAGTTTCACGTGTCAACTCTGTTAACATAGAGTTGAACCCCAACATTGTCAACACTATTCTAGAAACCAAAATTGAAGATGGTTTTAAAGAAAAAATTGCAAACTTCTTTTCATATGAAGAATTTCCTTCTGCATATCATCATTTTCATGTTCTCAAATTGATGACTTATTTTCAAACCTATTTTAATACTCCTGGTGAGGTAAGATTGGAAGATCTCAATCCTCAAAACTTGATCATCTTTTCCATAATTTTCAATCTGTTGGTCCCTACTGATGGTCATAGAACTGAAGCCAACAAAATGAAACTTTACCTGTTCTATTGCTTTCATGAAAAAATCACAATTGATTTCGACTTCGTTATGTGTAAATTCTTGCTCAAAATTAGCACTGATAGCCGTAGAAAACTTTTCTATGAAAAATTTCTGACTCCTATCTTTACTCATCTTGAAATTCCCTTTTCTGAAAAATCACCAAACAAAGTGCATAAACTGTTTTCTCTAAGGCTTATTTTGAAAGAAAAATCTGAAATTTTTTTAGGGTCATTGGTGCCATAAGGAAACTGTTCGGAGTCTATAAGAAAAAATTTTCATGAAACTCCTATTACCCCTAGGACTCCTCGAGATCAGTCCATGTTTGTCTCACCCTTCACTATCCGTCCTAGAAAATCAGCTACTAAGTCCTCTTCATCCAACTTTGAGGTCATTTCTTTGCTTGAGGACCTCAAACATTACATCCTATTTCTTGAAGATGGTCTAATGATGGCCATGTCATCCGAACAACAAGCCACTTTCATTGACAAAAGGAATCTGCTAATGCCTTCCATTCCTCAAGACAATGAGAATGCATATCAAAAGGAGCCTAGAACTGAGCCAACTACTGAAACTACTCTAGAGTATCGTGCCTCCAGTTCTTAACCATAGAACAAGGGAAAGACTCCAGCAACTAAAGAAGAAACTGAAGAGGATTATGATGAGGACACTGAAGAGGAACAAGTTGATCCTGCTCAATTTCGCCTAGTAAGGAGGAGGCTTGGATCGTCAAAGATTACCATTTAGGCTCTTCTAGGTAAATGCACTTCATGACTAGGATAGTAGTCCATAACAGGCTTTTGGCCTCTCTTGCATTTTAAAACATTTCGTGTGTTCTGTATTAAGAATTCTATTTCCTCTCCTCTGCTGGTCTGTAAAACTATTTGGTTATCTTTTATCTTTTGAATGAATGTTGCTTTTGTGGATTATTCCGATTTTTTGGATGAATGTTGCTTAATTCAGTCTGCTGTTAACAATTGTCAATGTTAATGATGTTGTGTTTTGGCTTCTGGTTTTGCTGATAAGTGTTGATAGTATTGCTGATAATTATTGATAGTTTTGGCTTCTTATATTGCTGAAAATATTAAAGATGTGTATTGGATACTATATTCTGGTTTGTTTAATGATGACAAAAAGGGAAAGAAATGGATATGTAATCTATACGTAAGGGGGAGTATCCACTCAGGGGAAGTGTCCAATAATCTATATGTGAGAGAACATGTTTATCCACTCTTTGGATGCATCAAGTAAGGGGGAGGTGTGCCCCAATTATTTTCCTCAATCCATTGTTTTGTCATCATCAAAAAAAGAGAGATTGTTTATCTCAGTCTGTAGGTTTTAATGATTACAAAACAAATGGATCTTACTAATGTTCTCCTAATAGACCCTTTCAGAAATGGAGCAAAACAGGTTAAAAAATTAAGCACAAAAAATGCTGAAACTGCTGTCAGACGCACAAGAAGACTGGATCGGACGTCCGATAATCTTTGCACAACTTTGGACGCATGAAGAACTTCACCCTTGAACGTCTGAAGATATTGAGTCAATCCTTCTAACCTCACTGACCTCGATCGGATGCACATCATCAGAGCATCGAACGTCCGACAAGCATTGCGAAACTTCGGACGCAAAACCTTGGAGACATTGGACGTCCGAAAAGAATTAAAGAAGAATTCACAGTTTCACCTCCTACCTTCGGACGCATAGATTAAAGGTACCAGACGTCTGAAATAAGTCAAGAAAATTTCTTGAGTTCACTGCCTACGTTCGGACGCAAGAAGTTGGTCTACCGGACGTCCGACACTACCAACGACTAGTTGACTCTTCAGTTGCCTTCTATCTATTGAAGCATTAATTGAGAAACTTTTTGGTCCCATATAAATAGAACAAAGTCAACCACTTCAAAATAACTTTGCACATTGAGATTACATCAGATCAAGAGTGATTTTAGTAGTAAAATACTCTTCAAAGAGGATTTGTACTCTTAGTTGTGTAATTTTTGATAAGTTTTTATAGGGTGATTCAATTATTTCAATAGTGTAGCTTTGTGAGGGTTATCCAAATGATAGTAAAACTTCCTTGCTTGATCAGGTGTGGCTTGGGGCAAGGAGGAAGTGATCCTTCCCTTGTACACAAGAGATTGGTTGTAAGTTGATCAACTTGAGGAAGTTTGCTCTATAAAATGATATTCAAACTCAAGGGGAGTTTGGTATTTGGTTCGATTCTCTATCTCTTTTACTTACTGTCTTGATATATAAATTACTCATTTCTTCTACTCACAAGCACTTGTGCTTTCTTATCAATTGCTTCATTGTGTGGTCTTTTAGAAAAAGAGGCCAAATTCTCAAAAAGTGAATCACAACTTAACCAGTTTTTATACTACCTAATTCACCCCCCTCTTAGGTTGTCTTCGATCCTTACATGTTATAGCTCAGAAAACATAATTACATAAAGTTGAGCAACTGCTCATTACATCACTCTTGGCTGCATCTAATAGCCAAGTTGGGAAGGATTCCTTCCAGAATATCTCAATGCAAGAATCAATGGCGAACTTTGCCAACTTGTGACCAACATAGTTGTTGTTCCTTTTGATGAAGGAAAAGCAATGTTCACTAAATAGCTTTTTAAGTTTCCTTATATCCTCTAGTACGTTATCTAGTAGTGTTAACTTCTCTTGTGAGTAGTTTAGCTTTTTGATCAGTTGCTTGCAATCAGATTGGCACTCGGCTCTACTTTGTCCAGCTTTATTTGCTTTAACTAGAGCATACCTAATTGCTCTAGCTTCTTCAACTATTGGGCATATGCATCCTTGCTCTACCTTGCCCAGCAAGCAATGACTTCCCCCTTTGGTGCTCTCGCTACTATCCCCCAACTTGCTTGTTGTTTTTCAGAACTTAGAGCTATATCTGTATTGAGTTTGACCCAACCTCTCTATGGTAGTTTCTATTTTTCCTCTATACAGTCTCCTTCAACATGTTAATCAGTTCTTTCCTTCTCCTGTGCTTACCTATATTCCTCCCATTCATGCACAACTTTGTTAATATCAACCATAGGATGCCTCTTTACTCCCCAGAACAGTCCCTCACTTCTTTTTTTCCAAACTTGCCATAATAGGTTCCCTATTAAGCAAACTTGCCTCTTCTTTTTTTTTTGTTGCCTCCATTAACTCATTCCACGATAACCAAAAGTTCTTTCTTAAGTCCTTTATACCATTCCATTTTATAGAGGCTACTTTTCCTGTCATATCAGCACTCTGGCAAAAGAATAAAACATGCTCAAGTGTCTCTACCTGTTCTCCACAGCACCTGCACATTGCATCATCTTTACCATTCTATCTTTTACTACCTGGTTTACTGGAAGCTTTCCTTGTAAGCATTTCCAAAGGAAGTGCTTTATTTTATGTTTCATGTTTATGCCCCATAGCACTTTCCACACATTGGTTCTGCTTTCTTCCCTGCTTCCACTACCCTGGTTACTCCCATCACTTGCTCTTCTTCCCATAGGTTTACTGGTTGCTGCATATCTTGACTTTATAGTGTAATTTCCTTATGCTGAATGTATCTAGTATAGTTTGTATTTTGTGTCAAATATACTGGTATGAATCCTTGCAATCTTGGCTCTCTCCTCGTCTCCAAAAACTTCATTGAAGATGTCCCAATTCCATTTTCCTGCACATAGTAAATCATGAACACTATTTATAGCTCACATCCCACTAGCTTCTTAATTAACATTTTGTCATCCTCTCTATGTGGTAACCATCTGTCAGTCTAGATTTTGATAGATTTTCCATCACCCACTTTCTTCCTTGCCCCTTCTTTCAATGGATTCTTGGCACTTAACAAACTTTCCCACATCCAAGAGTCATTTGGCCTACCTTCCATATCCCATAAGGATCTCCCTCTAAAATATCTACCTTTCTGTACCCTACTAACTAACAAGTTGGGTTGGTAATTATCCTCCAAAGTTGTTTTGCTAGCATAGCCATATTGAAATTTTGAAGGTCCTTAAAACCAAGCCCCCCTTTTCCTTTGACCTCAGCCAACTTGTTTCATTTGATCCAGTAAATTCTTTTCTCTTCACCTTTTTGACCTTACTGGAACTTTGCCATTTCTCCACAAATATTCTTACACAAGGTCTTTGGTAGCCTACAACAAGCCATTTCCTATGAAGGCATGGCTAAAATAATAGATTTTAGTAAGGTTTCCTTGCCAGCCTGACTTAAGAGTTTGTTCTTCTATCCACTCAATTTGCCCATCATCTTCTCTTTAATGAAGTTGAAGACTTGTATTTTGGTTCTGCCAATCACCATAGGCAATCCCAGGTACTTACTTTCTTTGGCATGATGCATGTTTCCCAGCTTTTCCAATATCTCTTCCTTTTCCTCTTTATTCAGATTTTTACTAAACATCACAAATGATTTGTCAATGTTTATCACCTGTCTTGAGGCTCTTGAATATCTATGCAAAATATGCATCACTACTTTAGCTTCCTTCTTCTTTGCCCTGCAGAATATTAATGAATCATCCACACAAAAAAAGGTGAGATAGTGTAGGGCTAGCAGTAGAGATTTTCATTCCTGAAATTTTCCTTTGCTGTACTGCCTTTTAAATGAAATTGATTAATCCTTCAGTACATAGTGGGAACAAGTATGGGGAAAAAGGGTCCCCTTGTCTGATAACTCTAATTGGTTTACTATACCCCTTTTTCCCCATTGATGTTCACTACATAAGAGGCAATAGACAAGCACTCATAGGTCCAATTAATCCACTACCTACAAAAGCCCATTTTCTCCATAACTCTCCTAAGTAAATCCCACTCTACTCTATCGTAAGCTTTAGACATGTCTAACTTAATCACCATATGATCCTTTTTCCCCGGTCTTTCATTATTTATGGCATGGATGCATTCATGAGCAATCAAACATTATCTATGATCTGTCTTTTGGAATAAAAGCTGACTAAGAGTTATTGATGTATTTTCCAAGCAGAGGCTTCAGCCTGTTTACTAGAATTTTTGTTATGATTTTGTAGAAGATGTTGCACAAACTAATGGGCTTATAGTGAGAGATTTTACTAGGAGCTTCAACTTTAGGAATGAGGGTGATTAGAAGAGTTTCATTTATAGCTTTTAGCAATTTTCCAGATGATTGAAGAAACTCTTGATTGCTTAATAGACATCCATGTTGCTGATATGCCAGAACTTTTGAAAAACTAGAGTCATACCATTAGTACTTGAGGCTTTGGTAGCGTGCATTGAGAATATTTTCTTTTTAACCTCCTGTTCTATCACATTTCCCATTAGCCTTGCATTTATCTGATCAGTCATAAATAGTGAAATTCCTTGGATAATGTCTGCTCCATCATCTGGGTGAGAGGTAGTGAACAATTCCTTGAAATATTTGGTTATTTCCTCCTCTATGTGATACCCCAACTTTTAGAATCGCCTTTTGTTTAGTCTCAAAAAGGATATTACGGTTTCTTTAGTTTATTTTTATTTTAAAACATTATTTTGTTCTAAAGAAGAAACTAAAGTTATTTCTTTGGGTTTGATTTAAAACCTTGTTTTGTTTAAAATACTAGAAACGCTAAAAGTCTAATCAAAACCCTAGTTTCATTTGTGACTGACCGTTTTCTCATATTTCTCACGTTTTAACCGAAACCCTAAATTCGATTTATGGAATTGTAAATGCCTCACGTTTTTCTTAAAAATTTCCTTTTATTTGGAACTTATGATTTTATTATAGCCCT